AAAAAGAAAGAAAGAAAGAAAAAGAGACAGATTTATGTAGAGAGATATTGATATAAATAGATGAACAGACAGACGAACTGAAAGAAAGAAAGGAGGAGAGAAGAGAGAAGGATGAAGCGAAACAGATTAATGCTTAGAAATATGCGTAGCTTTAGATAGATAGATAGATAGATAGATAGATAGATAGATAGATATGCATAGAATGAGATAGTCTGATAGATAGACAGACTGAGAGATGAACAGAAAGAAAGAAATGAGAGAAGGATGAAGCGAAACAGATTAATGCTTAGAGATCTGCGTAGCTTCAGATAGATAGATATGAATAGAATGTGAGATTGATAGACAGTCTGACAGATGAACAGAAAGAAAGAAAGAAAGAAAGGAAAGAAGAAAGAAAGAAAGAAAGAAAGAAAGAAAGGAAGGAAGAAAGAAAGAAAGACAAAACAGAGAAGAAACGAAACAGATTTATGCGTAGAGACATTTGTAGACTGAGATAGATAGATAGATAGATAGATAGATAGATAGATAGATAGATAGATAGATAATCCGCAGATATTTGTGTAATTAGAACTGCAATGATGTGAATGCAGTACGGACTTTTGCTGCTGCTCTTTTTGAGTAGTACTCCTTGGGAATCGGTTAGCAAGGAACAGAGTAACTAGATATCCAGACCAGTCGTTTCCCCGATCGGTACCAAGTACCAAATGCAGAGACAAATCACGTGAAGAAAGATGACCAAATGACCTAACATCTGATATTTTTATAGAGACGGGTACCTTTCCAGCACTACTTCTACATGCATATATTTTCTGGGTCACCCTGTCGATTTGCTTCATTCTCCCTTTCCTTTCCATATATTCCTCCCCCTTTTTCTTTCTCCCTTTTTGTCTTTCTGCCTTTTAATATTAAAACTTTTTTTCTTTTTTCTCTTTTCTCTCTTCTTTTTCTTTTCCTTGTGTCTGAATAATTTGAACTCCATGTATTAATGTAAAAATGGTCTGAAGAGATGGACGTTAGGCCAACGAAATAAATTATAACATGACCTGATGGATTTATAAGGATTCTGTATTCGTCATTACATTTCTCTATTCTTACATTAAGCTCTCTTTGGATTTATATTCTCCTTGGAATTATCCCTACTAGTCACCAACTGGTATATATATATATATATATATATATATATATATATATATATATAATGTAATGTCAATCGACATCTCCAGTTGCTTTGATCAATCCACTATCCTTCTCCTCATCCTTTCCTCTATCACTCCTATCTGCTATCGCTCCAGATCATCTGTAACCCCTTGCGTGCTTCCCACCTTGCTAGGGGTGAAATGCTTAAGTTATGAAGAACTTGGTAATCCTTATAGTTAATCCCAAGGAGGATGAAACCCTGAGAGCTCAATGTAAACCCAGAGCTAATATTTTAAAGAAAAACAGACCACTTTAAGTTACCATTATAATAATTTATTTCACCAGAGCCCTTTTAAATTAAGATGAACTACCTGATAAAGATGATAAAGATGTTACCGTAACTGTTTTTTACAATATTAAAAAAGTACGATTGGTCGGGTAAACAAACTGTTATAATTTTTAAAAAATTTAATATGTTCTCTATAAATGTGTTAATAAATATAGTATTTAACTTATATTAAATCCCTAAATTATTTGTAAAAAAAAGAATATTTAAATTGATAGCAAGCATCATATTAATTTCTTCGGGTTTTTTTAGATATCTAAATTACTATCAAACATTAAAATCTATTCTTTACATAAATTGCTAAAACCCAATTACAGCCTCTTTCCCTTTACTTCCCTCTCTCTCTTCTTTCTTTTTCCTTTTTCCCTTTTCTTTCTTCTCCCCTCCGATTTCAATATATCACTTCCGTTAAGTTAACCGTCTAAATAGGTCAAGATCTGGTCACTCCTCCTCCCCCAATACAAAGTATGCTTGAGAGAGATATGAATTTAATCCCTCCCTATACTCTACTATGTCTCTTTAACTACTCCTTTTACACTCTCTGTTAAATTACAAAAACTTACACTACCCATCAATTTTAATTTCATTTTTCGTTTCATCTTTTGGAAGTGCTATCTGATGATCCGGCGTCCTTTAAAAGGACTCTGGTGAAATAAATTATCATAATGGTATCTTAAATTGGTCTGTTTTTTCTTTAATATATATATATATATATATATATATATATATATATATATATATATATATATATATATGTTGTGTATGATACACCTAATTTACATAAGTGGAGTACCGACCATATAAATATGGGTTGGTACCGGAAGACGACGGAAGATTAAGAGATCGAATCCAGAGACTCTGCCTGACTGCGACTTAGTCAACCCATTCTGCAGGAACAGTCTTCCCAAGAATATACCAAACTACCTGTAAATATTGTGTACCTTTTTTCATTGTTTCAATACATTTTGTTACGTACATTTTGTGTTGTATTATTATTATTCCATGCTTATTCAAGCTTCAACAATATATATATATAAAACTGTACATTAGAACATGCAAGTTACTACTACAAAATTGCATATTTTGTTTCGACGTTTATACACGTCACATCAGGTAGTTAGCAATGATGGTAATAAACGATTTTATTTAAAATTACAATTCATGAAAGATCACTTCTTTTTATATTTTTGGAAAATGTTCTATAAAAGGCGAATCTTTAAAAGAATAAATAAAAAAAGGAAAGAAAATAAGAAATCAGTGAAAAGAAAAGGGTGAGGAAAGAAAAGAAAGGCATAAGATAGCAAAAGAAAAAGAAAGGAAAAAGAAAAAGAGGATTATATACAAAAGAAGAGGAAAGGGAAGAAAAAAAGATATGATATCTTGTTGATACGAACTTAAACGAATGAATCCACGCTGAGAAAGATAATTCAAATTTGAACGGAAATAAAACGCTACAATGTAGTAACATATTACAACTACATTGTCGCGTCTCAAATTTTATGGCATTTTTAAGGAAATCAAATATTCAAATAAAATTAAACATAGTACGCAAATATAAGACACTTTAAGAAGAAAAGTTATACTTAACTATACCAACCTTACATTATAAACTAGAGTAAAAAAAATAATTTTTAAACATTCATATGATTTTTACATATTTATTTTAAATTAAAATCTATTTACAACACCACAAGTAAAAAATAATAATAACCCAATTGATTTTACGAATACTAACCAATTTAATACCTTAAAACTAGAATAAACCACTAAAGATAACAGTAAAATGTTTATATAAAGATAATATGACATAAGAGGAGCGATTATTGAGTTATAAAGTCTAGTAAGATTGTAAGGATAATTCCTTAATATGCTTACAATTTACTGTAGTTTCATATCATTGACTTAATAATTTATCGCTATTTAAGAATTTAATTATTTCCATTTTCGCATGTTCATTCACCGATCTACAGATACTAGCTTGTTTGAGAATCTTCCATTTAACTTTAGGTGTTTTGTTTTATCTTTCAATTTCAATAAATATTTAGAAAGTGAAGTCATATTTCATTTGTCAGCATTAGTAAATGATAAGAGATGATTATGCAAACGTTTCTTAAATGTATTCATTGTACTGCCAATATATATTTTAGTACCCCTTGGATTTTCTATTGATGAAATAGAGCATATATACACAAGGGATTTAAGCACTTGTTAGATAAAAGACATTTGTCAGGATTTCTGCAATTACATAGTTTCGTTAGACGAGACAAATTAGAATCAGTATTAGAATTACAGTTATTATTGTTATATAATTTCAATGTGTTATTGTTATGTGATTTAATTATTTTCTCCCGGTTATGAGCACAACTATAGCTAAGTTTTAAGTATTCTGATTGAAAATTTTACTTAATGAATTATTGTTAGGAAAATGTTTATCAATTAAGTTAAGAAACTCATGTCGCAGTTTAGTACGAACTAATTGATTGAATGGGGGAGTATACCATATGATCTTCCAGCTTCTGTTTTTCTTTCTGGGATCACCATAATCTTCTACAAACTTAATTTCAAAAGACCTGAACCCACTTTCTCTAAAAACTTTATCAAAACCGTTTTAAATTTCTCGATTATCTCTTTGATATATATATATATATATATATATATATATATATATATATATATATATATATGTGTGTGTGTGTATTTAAGCAGCATTTTTTCATTGATACAAGTTTCATTAAATAATATAGACAAGTGTTGTCTATTTATTTTATGTAAATTCTTTTCATATCGTTTGATGAGCTCAATAAAAACATTATCATTAAACGAAGAAAGAAAATCAAAATATTGATACATATTTTTTTTAATTCTATCTTAGCTTTCGGCTTACATAAGCCATTATCAAAGATGACAATTACTGTACAATATATTAAGCAATACACATAAGACAGTGATGGTTGTCTGTTTCTGTTTACATGGAAGATTTCCAAGCAAAGACAAACTCGTGCATATAAGACGCTGGAAGAGAAAATTGCGTCGCAGCTCGTGACGTCACACATGACCACGCGAGAGTATTAAGTATGGGAAGCCGTTGGCATGAACCAATGGCTTCTGCTATCAATTATAGGCATTTAAGAATATTTGTGGAGATTTCATAGTTTATTTTGTTCAGGTTAGGTTTCAACTGTTTTATGTATATAGCTTCAAGAATTTTTAGTTTTCGTTTATTGTTTTTATGGTTAAGTATAGTTGTATTTTCAACGAGAATTTTCTGTAATTATGTACGCGGCCAGTCATGTTGTTTTAAATGCCTAAAAATGTTCGAGTTATCATTCAAATGTAGTGTCAAGCGTCGTGAAAACGAGTCTGTGGTGTGACCAACATAAATATTATTTAATTCGTTGGAGATACAATCTCCCAAAGGGCACTTGAATTTGTAAACTATATTGGGTCACAGGGGAGCGTTCGGTTAGCAAGGTTTACTGTCTTTAAACTACAATATTCTATGATTCTCTCATGTACATTCATATCTGCTCAAGGCGTATCCAAATGTGAAAAAAAAATGACGTCACATATTATGAATCGGTTAAAGGCACGTCAGGCTATATGACGGTTCCGTGTAGGATACAGGTTCGAATCCTGTCGGAGGACGAATATTTTCTCTGAAAATTTCTCAGACATTCAGGCCGGTGAATGTTGTTTAATACTGTTTATTATAAACAGAACATTTGCTTAAATATTTGTATCTATAAAAAGAATGTATAAACATAAATATGTCTTAAAATAATTGTCAGACATTATTCATTTCATAATATATGGATATTGTTTTAAGATATATTATATTTATGAGTTAAAGTGCTCAATATCAGGGATAGAGTGTATGTAACTATAAAAGTTGGCATATTTATATATATATATATATATATATATGCGTTCAATCATTTTCAGGTATGGAAATTATTTTGTTTCGAAATATGTTTTTGTTAACGGATATAAACTTTTGGAGCGTGTAGTCTCAAAGCTAAGGTTGATTTTTTTTTTAATTTAAGAGAGTGCGTTTTTTACGTTTTTATGTTTTACATTTTTTTAATTTTTATTTCGATTCGCATTATATTTTTTCATGTCGGATGCTTCCTGAATTTTACCAAAATAATTTCCATGCCTGAAGATGACTGAATATACACTCGAAAGTACTTGCGTATTAAAGAAAGACCTTATGTAGCTTATAATTCTTAAAAACAAGGATCATAACATTCATCGAGTGATTGGTAGGTTAATGCACCTTTAAAATTTTGTTAGCGAAGGGATTTCGCCATTTTATATCATTAACTTTACTAATTTACTTTTTGTGTGAATGATTCATTGTAATATAAATTGAACTGCACCACATATTTGATATATATATATATATATATATATATATATATATATATATATATATATATATATATATATAAAGAAATGAATTAAATCTGAAATATTTTTAATTTATTTGCTTAGACGTTATATCTAATAGATACTCATACTTGAGTTGATGCTTTATTTTTTATTATCTATTTATATCTACCACCTTGAATATTTGTGAAATCTTATTTCGAAAAATATGGCGGAGTAACTAGTAGCGACTTCTCTTGAAAATAGAAAAAATGAGATAGATAGATAGATAGATAGATAGATAGATAGATAGATAGATAGATAGATAGATCTGAACAGACTGGGCGAGATCAATATGAATAAATGAGATAGATAGATAGATAGATAGATAGATAGATAGATAGATAGATAGATACGATGGTCATCCCCTAGTGTTACAACCATGACAGCATGAAAGCGTTTGAGGGCCAAACCCTTTTTCTGCTTGTACTTGATAATACTCCAATACGATATTTCGTCCATTTTCAAGTCTCTACACCTTACTTTTCAAGCCTTCCTTGAACAGATGTCAATTTACCTTTAAAGAAACAGTACTGTTATTCATAAGGAGGTTTGAAATTAATGCATAAAAATTTTCACAGCATCATCTAACGGCACTCCGTCATAGTCTGCCTATGAACATTTCAGCCCACCCTCGTACCTGGAAAGAAAGAATTCGGTTATTAATAAGAAGAGTTGAAATGAATGCATACAAGATTTCACGGCTCTAGTATCAATCCTTCATAGTTAGTTTATGAACTTTTCAGCCCACCCTCGTGCCTGGAAAGAAACAATGCAGTTATTAATAAGAAGAGTTGAAAAGAATGCATACAAGATTTCACGGCTCTAGCATCATTCCTTCATAGTCAGCCTATGAACTTTTCAGCCCTCCCTCGATTCTGGAAAGAAACAATGGAGTTATTAATAAGAAGAGTTGAAATTAATGCATGCAAAATTTCACAGCTCTAGCATCACGCCTTCATAGTCAGCCTATGAACTTTTCAGCCCACATTTGTATATTAATAAACTTAAATTCTTTATGATAATTTGTTTTGTTCTTTTTTCATTGTAAATGTTAATTCTTTTAAAACTTTATTGAATTTGATTTTAGTTTACCTGTTAAAAACACGAAATTGGAGCAAACGTGACATTTTATACTATATATAAAATGAATTAAAATTTATTTATTAAGAATATTGCTTTGTAAAGTTCCTGCCATAATTTAATTTGATATTATTGGGATATTGCAAACGTTATGGTAAAGCAGCCATTTTAAAGAGACATTTTTCTAGGTACTTCTGTCATCATAAAAATGTGTATTTATGACGAAATAAGGCAGAATTACTTTATTTCTAAACAATAAAATAAATAAAATAAAAAGTTACTTTCTACTTTAATTTGTTTTCTGCCATATTTTTTGTCGCAGAATTCACAGTTCCAAGATGATTTGTGTTTTCTTAAAACTATTTTAAAACGGGAAAATTAATTCAAAGATTAAAAGGCATGTAGCATTTTGTACTCCATTCTTAACGGGGTGGGAAATGATCCGAAGCTCCACCAAATCATATATTAATTTAAATAAGATCACAGTGAATAAAAAATGTACCTAGATAAAGAGGATTAACTTTTTTGAACCAAATTAATTTTGTGCTTAATCTCTAGATATTTTTTTGTTGAATTTCTTAAGCCGATTACAGCAGCGAAGTACAGCAGACCCAAGCCGAAACTTAAATTCTTCGCTAACAGTGGAACGACAAGATTTCAGATAGGCCACCATTTCTGGCGGAAAAGACACACTACGACATGACCTTTACTAAAGTACGCCATCTGAGATAGAAAGAAATTTAGATACATGGCGATAAACGGCATTTAAGCAGGAAATTGCTGAAGTCCGGATGGACGAAACTCTGAAGTCGGAAGAGCGGATGGACGAAACTCTGAAGTCGGAATGCTGAAGGTAACATCAATCAGCTAAGTGATTCTTTCTCTCTATCTCTCGATATATATATATATATATATATATATATATATATATATATATATATATGTGTGTGTGTGTGTGTGTGTGTGTGTGTGTGTGTGTGTGTGTGTGTGTATATATTTTAATTTTGACTCAAAAATATCAAACATTAAAATATAAATATATATATTAAAATATTTATATATATATATTAATATATATATTTTATATTGTAACTTTTTACTTACCCTCGTACATATATATATATATATATATATATATATATATATATATATATATATATATATATATACTAGGTTTAGACCCACTGATTGACAGGGTGTAATAGATTTCTATTTTTTTCCTCAGATTAGGTAATGTGAAGTGGTGTGCAGTAATATGAATCTATTTTCGGGATGTATGATGAAATTTGTTTGAACATAAAAAAAATATTACGTCATCAGTGATTACATCAGATTTTTTATCACGCCTAGACATATTACGTCACATGAACGCACACTCATATACGGGAGGCACGAAGGTTTATATATACACACACATTTATATATATACAGTGTAACCCGGATATAAAAGTGTTGTCGGGACTGGAGAAGAAGTCTCTTATATCCGGGTTTCTCTTATATCCGGGTTTGGTCTGTTTTATATACATTAACACAGGCTCTAATTTGGGACCAGAGAAAATCTCTCTTATATCCGGGTTTCTCTTATATCCGGGTCTCTTATATCCGGGTTACACTGTATACGCATGTTGACAAAACAGGGGAACTACTCACGAGCGCGCGCACCAACCCCACACAACTTAGGAAGTGCATGTGTATGTATGTACGTATGTGTGTATGTATGTGTGTATGTATGTGTGTATGTGTATACTGGTTCCATGTAGCTTGGAAAGTATGTGTGTGTGTGTGTGTATGTGTGTGTATGTACTGATTCCTTGTGGTGGGATGATGTGTATGTGCGTATGTGTGCGTATGTGTGTGTATGCGTGTATATGTACAAATGAGTTTACTAATTCCTCGTAGTAAGACAATATATGTATGGAGGGGGAATATACGCACGCATATATACACGCATGCTGACAGAAACACACAAAAATGGAAACAGATCCAAGAACACATAGGGGTCAGTAAAACATTAAAAGATAAAATGCCGATAACTAATTCATCATTTCTCTCGGACCAACCTTAATTGTTTTATGACACTTCGCGCAGAACTCTTCATTGCCAATTCAAGAAAGAAATTCGGATTACTAACACAAAAACAGAGAATATCTCATACCGAGAATATTTAACATTGAAAACCATAAGGAAAAAAATTAATTATTTTTAATAATATGTGGAAATCTCCGCCTTTTACCTGAAGACGGTCGCGAGACCAGAAACACGTGTAGTAAAATTATGGAAAATAAAGCATAATATTTTCTTATACAAAAATCCACATTACAACCAAAAACGTTTGCAGCACCTCTCTTCTCTTCTTTTTAATATATATATATATATATATATATATATATATATATATATATATATATATATATATATATATATATATATTATGGTAAAAATTAAGAAAGGACATTTTTTGTCGTTGATAAAAAACCAGACGGCATGCGTTGAACGGATGTCTGAATTCGTTGAAAAATTCACCCCTACCCTCCCTAAACTTAACCTCTTTTTCGAACATAACTCATAATTGATACAACAATAGTTAATAGAAATGAATACGCTACCGCCCCTGACTAAATGATTGAATTTCTCTGTATCCTTGGAAACAAAAAAATATGAATTGTATGTGCGTTTAAAACTCATTAAATTTAAAAATAATAAAGATGAAACAGAACTAATGCTTTTAATTTAATTATATAATTAAATTTTAAGATTTAGCTTCGGCTTTTGAAACATGGTAATTCCTTTGTAGTGAAAGAAACATATTTTTAAATCAGTTAATATATATATATATATATATATATATATATATATATATATATATTATTCATTTATTTATTCAATAATTATAACATAAATATGTTATAAAATCACTACAAAAATAGCCATTTTGTTTCAACATCTCTGGTGTCTTATCAAGTGATGATGCTGAATGTAGATTGTAGAATAAAGGGTTTTAAAAGGGTTCAAATTAATTAACCACCCATCGTAAGGGGAATCGCTGTCACATGAGCTGAAATGACCAATCAAAATACAAGTATATGAGAATTCAAAAAACTTGACAACGAAGTAAGGTTATAATAGCTATTAAATGCGTTAAAGTTGGGGTTATACTAAAATAGAATCTATTCTAACTAATAAGTATTAAATTGTACAATAAAATTTGAAATTTGAATTTTAATTTAAATTAAGTTTAAAATTTTAAGATTATTGAGGAAAAAAGAAAAATACATATGTTTTTCTATTCATTTTGTTTCTATTGAAATTACGTTGGAATAAACGTTAAGATCGACTGCCCTTAACTTAATGACAACATGGATACAAGTGTAGGCATGGGATTATGACATCTTGCGAAAGGACAATACAAACACAATCAGATTATAATACGCCGACATATTTAGATATATACACACAGAAAAAAGTGACGAGACAGGAAATATTTGCACGACCTTTTAAAAATTTAAACCACACATATACACAATGAAATATGCATGCAATTTACTATACACAGACACCGAAAAAGACACGTACATATAGCCACATACATTTACATAGACACTCTGATATAACACTCAAGAAATATTCAAGATTGAAGGTGTTATTAAACGAATTCTAACCACATATTAAAATATAATTTATAAGGGCAAATATACATAAATAAAAATGGTCTAATAGAACAGACACAAACAATAGGTAAAGAAAGGACATTTAAATATATATACATGTACAAAAATAACATCATTTAATATATAAAAAACGAAAATTCCAAACACACACATATACGCCTAATTGTACATTAGGTGAAAGAAAATAAGAACTACATACAAATATATGTGTACAGTGTACACACATTTATCACTACAGACAGAAGTACAGAAAAGCTAACCTATAGACATACATATACACACATATATACATATACACGCATACACACATACACACACACACATATATATATATATATATATATATATATATATATATATATATATATATATATATATATATATATACATATACACACATACACATACGCAGAAGCATATATACACATACAGAAGCAAGTATAGATATATCAACCTACACAGCAACTTAAAAAGTAAACAAACCAAATATAAATATATATACATACATACACATGCATACAAATACACACATACATACATACATATATATATACACATACATAAATATATGTATGTATATATATACATATATAATCTTAAACACACATATATACAAACACATATACAAATACACGTATATATATATATATTAAAAAAACGGAGACTTAAACATACACATATATATATATATATACATATATATATACACACACATACATATCCATATATATGTATATATAAATATCCATACATACATATATATATATATATATATATATATACCTAAATAGGTATATACGTAGATAAACTTACACATATTCTAACATTATTATCCTATTGATAAATTACAGTAGAGTCCATAATAATTTTAAAATGTAACGAGACACAATTGTTGATTCAGTCTATTAGCAATTAACAAACCCTTATCAAATAAAAGTAAATTTTAGTTAGTATAGATGATACATTTCTAAACACTAAGATATATACGAAGAAATATGAACATATATTCACATATACAAATATATAATCATGCACAAATACCCATATCGACACATCAACTGAAATTAAGGTGGGCCATAGGAAAATGATTCATAGGGTATTTAAAGACTAACGTTAAACAAGTAGATTTTCTGGATGTCACCCTAGACCTTACTAGCAATACTTTCCAACCATATGTGAAGGTTAATTCCAACCCAATATACGTGCATGCAAATTCCAACCACCCCCCTTCAGTTATCATACCCTCCTCTATTTGATTTAGGATTAGTACTAACAAAGACGTTTTTAATAAACATCGTGATTTTTACAATTCTGCCCTTTAAAATAGTGGATACAAAGATACCACTATTCAACCGATTGGAGGTCCTTTTCAAGACAAACGGCCAGGTTAATTTTGTCAGAGACACTAGATTTGTTTTTGAGGCAGGAGTAAATTATAGTGTCGTCTGCTTAGATGCCTTCTTGGGAATATTACTGCACTAATCGAGTATTATGTCTACACTAATCGAATTTTGGTAGATAAAAATTTCAGCGCACAAATTGAAAATGCATCAATCAAGGGATGCCTTTATACTGTTTAATAAATAAATAAAAACAGAACATTTCCTCAAATATGGGTATCCATTGAAAATAACGATTAAGCTATAAATTAGAATATACGTGCACTTATTTAGAAGAAAATATGCATCGAAATTCTGTTCAGTACATGAACTGAGTTGTTGTTTGTGTCTAGTCAGTCGTATTTGAGATAATTACTTACCTTCGATTGGCGCCAACGGTCGGCCTTTGAACTCGGAAAAAAAGGGACGAATTGAATTAGGGTCGCACAGATTGGTCATCTGTTAATTAGTAATTGTTTATAAAAGTATCAGCCAATTATTCAACCATCTTTTTTTTTACAAATGATTTTTTTATTCTCTCTTCACACGCCTCGATCAGTCTTATTTATTATGACATAGACATCATATCTCCGGCTTAACTCTCTGATAATGCTGTGGGGTGTTTGACACAAACAAAGTAATACTTTAATATATATATATATATATATATATATATATATATATATATATATATATATATATATATATATATATATATATATATATATTCGACTCTCCTGTATGAGGGTCAAGCAGATCAGTTCCTAGGAAACCGACAGCCCGACAACAGCACACGAGATTTGATTATAGTGGTGAAGGTTTCGTGCAGGACCATCCACACTTTTTTTGAAGGGGCGAATACAGAGACCTGGTGCACTACGTGCCAAAGGTCCCCAAACGACCCTCCGCAGGTTTTGAATTCAGAGTTTTCCTTCTCCTAGACCAGTTGCCATCCAAGGCTATAGAACCCAGTCTATCCTGCTATTTACCTATAGCTGGAGGGAGAAGAAGAGGATTCATACCTCTCTCTCTCTCTCTCTCTCTCTATATATATATATATATATATATATATATATATAGTAGAACTCCCCAAATCCGAACATAGCATAATCTAGACTTCCTCAATTTCTTCAAATTCGAACTTTTCTATTGACATAAACATGAAGCCTTTTCTTTCTCGAAACAGAACAGTACCCTAAATACCAATGTTCAATTTAGAGGACTTGTACAGGTATATCCTTATTTTTGACTTCCTTTACAGATTATAATTGTTTTCTAAGAAGATATTTAATAAATTTTTAGAACATTTAATAAAGTGTCTTAGTTTTTAACAAATTACAATATTTGTTTAGCACAATGTTTTTCATTGCTATTGGTTGTCAATTATTTTGTGTACATTTATGTAATCAATTTACACTTTAAATAAAACGAATCAACGTTCCAAACTGCCTTTTGTATCCTAAAATCTAAAATTTAATACAAATTTTAAGCTTGCCACAGCAGCCTTTTCTTCCTCAAATCCGATGGTATTTTCGGTTTATAGGAGTTATAATATATATATATATATATATATATATATATATATATATATATATATATATATATACAAAATTTAATGATCGAAATAAAAGTATAAAACTTAATATTACGAGACATATTTAAAAAAAAAAAAACGGGTGAAGTAACCGGTTCCGCTCCCTTTTCAGGCTTCAACGGGAGATTTAAAATTGACACAGGAAAATGTACAATAAAAGGAATTGTAAAAAAAAAAAAACAAATAAAAAATATGCAAAACGAACTAGAGACAAATGACAGCGAGTCCCAACAAACACTCACGTTGTTTGCACAAAGAAGGCTTGCGGGACCCGATGTAAAGTGCCTCCAGAACCTTTAGATGAAATAAAGGGTGTGACCGGGACAACACGGTGAACCAGTCAACACTAAATTTGGCTGCACAATCTCTGTTCTTTAATAGGTGTTCGCATATGTCGGAGCTATAGGTGTTCGGGACGAGTCCATTCAAAGGCAGGGTGTGGTTTCTAATTTTAGTAGGAACGTGCTGCTTTCTTCTCATGTCTAAGCGTTGAGTTGTTCTCCCTATATAGTCGGCTCCGCAACTACAGACGTATTTGTAAATAATTGAATTAATTTGGTGGGGAGAGAGAACGTCTTTACACGCAGATCGAAACATAGGCCGATATATATATATATATATATATATATACATTCTTAGCCCGCTTCTGTTTCTCTTGCTGACAACTTTACATTTTGTCTTCTTATATAGGTAGTCCTTTCTTCTTGCTTTCCTTTATCCCTCTTGTCTAAGAAGGTTTTTAGTTTCCCTTCTTCGTCTGCTATCATCAATTGTGTATCTTATATTTTCTTACTGATAATAAATCCTGCTAGGGTCCTCAAGCTCAGATCTGATTCACTCGTTATAGACCAACGTGTTTCGACTGGGGCGGGGGGAATCCCATCAGGGATTTAAGTAGGGAATAATTACCCTCAATAACAAACTTTTCGGATGTTTGGTTTAGACAAGTTATACCGTATATCCTTAGTTTTGACTTCTTTTACAGATTGTAAGTTTGACTAAGATATTTATTCTCCATAACTTTTAAACATTTCATAAAATGTTTTAGTTTTTTCACAAATTACAATATTTTTTTAGCACAATGTTTTTCATTACTTTTGGTTGTCAATTATTTTTTGTACATTTATGTCTTCAATCTACACTTTAAATAAAAACGAATCAACCTTACAAAGTACCTTTTGTACCCTACACTGTAAAACTTAAAAAATTTAAGTTTGTCACAGCAGCCTTTTCTTCCTCAAATCCAAACATTACCCTCAAAGGTAGCTAAATAAATAGCGGCTCTGACTAAGGAATCGGAGAGCCGAGTTCGAATTCCAGTCGAATCTATTACATTCACTTACGTCCTAATACTCTTCTTCTTCCCCCCAGCTATGGGTAAATAGCAGGATATACCGGGTTCTATAGCCTTGGGTGACAACTGGTCTACCGCAGAAAGAAATGGCAACCTACATGGCAAAATATCTGCCTCGTCATTCATGTATCGAAAGATACATGATCGCCTAAGCGCGTATTACAGTGGGAATGTTTGTTACTAAATATTTCATTGTTCCTGGAACATTTATCCCGCTAGCAATATTTGGTGGACTCATGTGAGCCTGGGTTATAGAAAATATACAGGGTGTTTCAAAAAATTTGATATCATTTCGCAATCTAATAACTTTGTTAGATCTCCTTCAAATGACTTCAAATTTTAATAGCATCTTTAGGTTTAATGTTTGTTTTATGTTTTTATGTCTTTATGTTTTTGTGTTTTTCTTATTTGTATTTTTATGTTCTTTAATCTTTAATCTTTTTCTTTACAGGTATAAAAATGCTATTTACTAGAAGAGAAAAGGCGTTTTGTGTGTTGGAGTTTGCTAGAACACAGTCAAACAAGACTATGCAGCGTGCATTTATGAGAGAGTTCTCTAGAAAGTCACCAACAGGATTGCAGATTTGGAGATGGCATAAAAAGTTCAAAGAGGAAGGCTGTCTGTGCAGAGCAAAAGGATCCGGACGACCACAAACTTCACATTTGTGAAATCGTTCACATAATCCACATGCTTTTGAATTTCTCATTCAGATTTGGAAGAATAAATCTTATGATCTTCAACATTAATACTTTTTAATTTCATTAGCCTTAATCATGTATTTTCTGTGATATTTACATCTCAAAGGATATCAAATTTTTTGAAACACCCTGTACTTCTCGATTTTTCGTTTTTATATGCACTTTTCATTGGTGCAAGGTTTTTTTTTTTTATAGTGTATGTATATGTGTACGCGCTGGTACCCATGTTCCCGTCTGCGAATACGTGTGTACGTGTAGAATGAGATTATTTGTCCTTTTCTTCGTTTTTTTTGTTTTTGTTTTTGTTTTTCACTCACTCCTTAAACCTTTACCTCTTCTTCTTTTCGTCTTTTCTTTCTTTCTTTCTTCCTTTCTTTCTTTCTTTCTTTATTTATTCCTCGCCTTCTTTCTTTCTTTCTTGCATTCTTTCTTTATTTATTTATTCCTCGCCTTCTTTCTTTCTTTCTTTCTTTCTTTTTTTCTTTCGTTCTTTCTTTTGTTCTTTCTTTCTTTTCTTTTCTTTTAATTGTTGTCATTTGACTACCGGATTTCTAGACATAGGCTATCGTTGTTAATTTTTGAGCGTCTCGTGTTTTCTTGAATTGGGAGAATTCTATTTTTTTTCAACATAATTAATTTTAATGCTTAGTTTAAAATGACTTTGTTAATGAACAAATACAATGATATCTGACTTTAAAAAAAACCTCTGATCATAGTACGAAAGATTACATATAGTTATTTTATTGCAACAATACGCACTCGACTATAATGAAGATGAGATGGAGAAGCAAAAAGTATTTTTAACATTAGCCTTTTAATTCGATTTTTCTAGATTAACACGTTGTCTGCCAAAGGTTACTTATGACATCCAACTTCAACTTTATAATAGCTAAAATAGGCGATAAAAAGTTGATTTATAGCTTCAACTCAAGTTTTAACATTGTTTTCAAACTAGAAGCATCATTGCGAGTAAACGTAGTTGTACATGTATGAAAAGCCTGCTTGGTCAACAACTATTAAATAACACGACCTCCAGTCCATTGTTAGCTAAGGCAAAGGATGGCTTGTTAATTTTAACGCCTCCAAAACTAAACTATTCTCTATCAATCTATTCATCATCTTAGAGACTCTTATCTGTCGTCCATCAGTATGGCTGATGCTAACCTCCAGGAAAGTGACTCGTCGCCATTCTAGTGTTAAGGTTCTCGGCTGATATGATGAAAAAAGATTAGATTGGATCCATTGCTAGGACTGCAGCTAAGGAAGTTGGATCACTGTGTCATGCTACACAATTTTTCTCTCCTGAATCTAAGATACGTATCATTAACTCATCCATTCGAACATGATTAGGATCTATAAACCCACCATTCGTCTATACTTAGAATATTGCTGCCACATATGGTCCGGTGCTTCTGCTATTTACATTGAGCTCCTTGATAAGATCCAAAGAAGAATCAGCAATATTATTGGTCCTGATCTATAAACCTACCATTCATCCATGCTTAGAATATTGCTGCCACATATGGTCCGGTGCTTCTGCTATTTACATTGAGCTCCTTGATAAGATCCAAAGAAGAATCAGCAATATTATTGGTCCTGATCTATAAACCTACCATTCGTCCATGCTTAGAATATTGCTGCCACATATGGTCCAGTGCATCTGCTATTTACCTTGAGCTCCTTGATAAGATCCAAAGAAGAATCAGCAATATTATTGGTCCTGATCTATAAACCTACCATTCGTCCATGCTTAGAATATTGCTGCCACATATGGTTCGGTGCTCCTGCTATTTACCCTGACTTCTATAAACC